TCACATCTCAGAAAGCAGCGTGCACCTCCTGACAGCATCTGCCAAGATTTCCGATGAGGCCAATAGAAACGTGTTCCATTTTCACGTTGTTTAATGAATAGATGGAATCTCTGCACACCTGTTCAGGCGCGATGATGGGGACACTATTGCTGGAGGCATTGTGGTGCAAACACAACCTGCCCCCTGCCCATGTCCAGCCCCCCTTCCTCTTTTTTCTCTCTTCACTCTTTATAGTCCTGTGTCTCCCTTCTTCTCATGTTTGCTTTGTCACTCTCACTTTTCCTTTTTTTCCTTCATTTCTTTCCCCACATCAGTGCCCTGCTCAGTTGACAAAAACCTGTGGCATAAAGTGAGGGATTCCTGTCATGACAGGAGAAGGGGCTGCTGAGAAGGCAGAGTGGCCAGGGGCCAGCTGCCAAGATCAGGAGACAGAGGACTCTTTGGGCCCCTCCTCAGAGCCCTGGGGCGTCCTGCTGTACGGGGGCCCTTTCTGACTTCAGCCGAGTCCCAGGAACATCTGCGCCTGCCCCATGTCCAACCTCATCAGCAAGGAATCAAGAGAGACAGCAATGTGGACAGCTAATTCCTGCTAAAGAAACAACAGATGGAAAGGGTTTAATACATTTAACATCCAGGAATATTTTGCATCATAGCTGGATACTTTCTGGGTACATAACTGTTTTATGAGGGAATGAAATTCTAATGTTGGAATATAAGCACAAAAATTTAAAATGAGGGGGCTAAGTTTCAGGGTCAGGAAGAAACTTCCTTGTGTTTTTAAAACCATTCACTCCTTTTTATCAACAAATATTCAGCATCCACTATGTGGCACAGAATAAAATGATTACTAAAGCACATAGATGGAAAAAGTATGATTCCTGCCTTTCAGGGCTCTAAAATCCACCCCAAGGCACCCCAAGTGCTTCTACCCAACCTAAATACAGCTTTCTACCCAACCTAAATACAGCTTTGGTCATGCACCTATCTCTCGTGTGAAGCAGGATGTCTTTGGGAATCCTTCACTGTGGAGTAACTGTATAAAGAAAGGATGGTAGAGACTCCTGCATATCGACCCATTAGTCCATCCACCCATCTGCTCTTCCACACACCCATCCATCTGTTCATCCATTTACCTGTTGATCTACTCATCCATCACTTATCTACCTACTCACTCAACTGTTCACCCATCTACCCTTCCACCTATCCTCCTACCTACCATCCATCTTTTTACCCACCCATGCATCTATCCTTCCAAGCATGTGGTAAGAGGTCAATTATAGCTTAGTGGTGAGCAGGGCACACCTAACCAACTACTGTGGTAGGAAGCCGCGCAAAGACAGTACCCCAGTAGTTGTGTGTAGTGTCCATGCCTGACAATTCACATGTGAATGGTTCCTGAAGACAGGGCTGTGATCTGAGAAACAAAGATACATTTCAAGGGCTGGTAACAAAGGTTTACAGGGAGGTGCCTAAATTTAACCAAGATAGTGTCTACCTTTCTCCCCCGTCTAGGAGAGAGCAGCCCAGGACTGGTGGGCACAGCAGTCAAGCAACAGTGCTTCATGGAAACCTTCTCTGCACCTGGTTCTCACTGTAGCAATTTTCCTCGACATGATGGCCCACTGCATCACAAAGGTGCTGTTCTGAAAATTATTGCTTTCTCCTTGAACATAGGAAAAATAAGATAAATGTTTCAATAGGCAGTTGAAGTTCCCAATGTACTGTCTACCGCCAGATAACCCCCAAATTGGAGGACTCAGTGGAAGTCAATGCCTAAAATGGTTGCCTTGTTCCCCAAATGTTGTATTTCAGCATTTTTCTGTCTGTGGGTTTTCTGACTGATATTTACTCATTTCTAATATCAATTTGAGCTATGTCTTTTTTTTTTAAAGTGCTCCCATCTTTCCATCTGAAAGTCAGGTGGCTGTTACTAGTTGTCTGGAATTAATTTGTCCCTAGCTGAGAAAAGAAATCAGAGACCAGTGGTCAAAGCCCTCCACTGTCTGGTTCCCGAGTCTTACTTTATCACCGAGTCACCAGCTGACATCAGGCAGAGGACTTGGCTTACTGAGTTATCGCCTGTATGCTAAAGAAGAGCAGGCATGGGGTCTGGAGCCAGTGTTGGGAGCCAGGCAGGAGCCAGGAGGAAGGAGCCCTTGTCCTCAACCCAACTCGTGAAATCCTCATTGACTGTAGCACGCTTTTGAGCTTTCCTTTCTTTGTCTCTAATATGAGGGGAGAGGTTATGTGATCTTTAAGGTAGTTTCCAAAACCTGGAATCTCAATTCCACTCACTCTGGCACTTTGCATATTTAATTCAGGGTGTTATTTCTAACAACCCTTTTTTTTCATCCTCTAGATGAAAAAAAAATTCCTCAAATCATCATGACACATGATATGGCATTTTGTACTCGGTTTCACTGTGTTAAAATGTAAATATAGACTTCTGGCCAAGATGGAGGTGTAGGTGGAAACGCTGTGCCTCCTCGCACAACCAAGTTGATGAACAACAAATATTTAAAAACCAGAATACAACCAAAACAGAGAGACAATTAAAATGTACCGAAGTCTGACAACAACGAACCATTCATCCAGACTGGTAAGAGGGGTGGAGTCAGCAGCTGGTGAGCTGGGTCATGCAGGGAAAAGCGGGGACTGACCCAGGGGTGCAGGTGGCGGTTGGCAGAATCCAGGCGCGGGGTGGCAACGGGCAGACCCAGTGAGGGTTCAAGGTGGCTGGCTGACCACGGTCACACATTCGAGTGCAGATAAACCAAGCAAAGGAACAAACAGTGAGACAGACTGCACAATCCAGGGCCTCAGTGCTGGGACATAAAGCCTAAAAGCACCAACTGGAAAAACTTTTGGGGGTCAAGGTGCCAGGAGAGGCTCCCAGGCTCACAGAGAGTTCACTGGAGAGACCCACAGGGTTCTGGAGGGTGCACAATCCCACATATCTGGGAACTAGCACCAGAAGGACCCAATTTGCTTGTGGGAAGCAGCAGAGGGGACCGAAATCCAAGAGAAAGTGGAAAAAATGTCATTGCCCCCTCTGACCCTGCCCCCCACATACAGCATCACAACCCAGCAACCTGGGTTGCCCCACCCTGGTGAACACCTAAGGCTCCACCCCTCATACGTAACAGGTGCAAACAGACCAAAACATTATGGCTCAAGAAGAACAGCTCAAAGCTCCAGAGCCAATACTTCTAAGCGACCAAGAGATAGCCAACCTATTACATGCACAGTTCAAAGCACTGGTGATCAGCATGCTCACAGAACTGGTTGATTTTAGTCACAAATTAAAGGAACAAATGAAGGCTTCACTAAGTGAAATACAGCAAAATGCGCAAGGAAACAATAGTGATGGGAAGGAAACTGGAACTGAAATCAATGGAGTGGACCAGAAGGAAGAAAGAAATGACCAGACAGAAAACAATGAAGAAACAAGAATTCAAAAAAATGAGAAGAGGCTCAGGAACCTCCAGGACATCTTTAAATGTTCCAACATCCGAATTATAGGGGTACCAGAAGGGGAAGACAAAGAGCAACAAGTGGAAAAGTTATTTGAACAAATAACAAAGGAGAACTTCCCCAGTCTGGCAAAGGAAATAGACTTCCATGAAGTCCAGGAAGCTCAGAGAGTCCCAAACAAGTTGAACCCACGGAAGAACACACCAAGGTACATCATAATTATATTAGCCAAGATTAAAATGAAGGAGAGAATTCTAGAAGCAGCAAGAGATAAGGGAACAGTCACCTACAAAGGAGTTCCCATCAGACTGTCAGCAGATTTCTCAAAAGAGACCTTACAGGCAAGAAGGGGCTGGAAAGAAGTATTCCAAGTCATGAAATCCAAAGAGCTACATCCGGGATTGCTCTATCCAGCAAAGCTTTCATTTAGAATGGAAGGGCAGATAAAGTGCTCCTCAGATAAGGTCAAATTCAAGGAGTTCATCATCACCAAGCCCTTACTGTATGAAATGTTAAAGGGACTTATCTAAGAAAAAGATTAAAAAAGATGAACAGTGAAAGGACAGCAAACTCACAGTTATGAAGAACCACACCTAAAACAAAAGCAAACTAAGAGGATAGCTAGATCAGGAGCAGAACCATAGAAATGGAGATCACATGGAGGGTTAGCAACAGGGGAGTGGGAGGAGAAGAAAAGGAGAGAAGGTACAGAGAATAAGTAGCATAGACGGTAGGTAGAAAATAGGGGAGGAGGCAAGAATAGTATGGGAAATATAGAATCTAAAGAACTTGTGACACGTAGTCATAAACTAAAGGGGGGATGGGGGAGGGGGTGTGCAGAGGGGAGGAGAATGAAGGGGGAAATGGGACAACTGTAATGGCATAATCAATAAAACATATTAAAAATGTAAATATAATAGAAGCTACAGTGGTTACTAGAATGATGGAATTGAAGTAACACATTCTACTTCTTCATCTTTAAAATCGCTGTGCTATCATTGTTTCAAATTTTTGGTTCAAATGCAAGATTCTGCAGTACCTTAGGGTTGGAGACATGCCTGTGCTGGGAATAAGCTCAGACAATTCCAACTGGATATGAACTTAAAATGTGCGCATCTGAGACCACATATATCTGGGTCAGCTGTATATAGAGTTCCCAGGATTAATTTGCATATGGAATGCAATGTCTATTAAAAAATAAATGGTAAAAATGTGCTAAGTTAAACCTTACATATATATTAAGACTCAACAGTAACTACAGATGCTTAGAACTTAGACCAAAGGATTTGGGGGAGGGAACATTGTTTTTATCATCAACATTGTTTAGAGTTGTCATGGTGATAATGAAAAAGCAGACCAGTATTGAGTCAGTTTTATCATTTAGAAACCTTCTGAATTGTGCAATAATTTTAGATTTATGGGAGAGTTTTAACACTAGTATAGACAGTCCCCTTACACATTTCACTCAATTTCTATAACCATGGTACATTTATCAAAACACAGAAATTAACACAGATACAACACTATTAAGCAAACAACAGACTTTATTTGGATTTTAGCAGTATTTCCACTATGGCCCTCTTTCTGTTTCGGGATTCAGTGCAGGACACAACATTGCCTTTCGAGGTTTATTATTGTTTTAAGATTCTTTACAGATCATGCAAGCCCCTGGTCCTGCCCCCATGGTTGCCACTCCCACCGCCTTGCCCCTGGTATGCCACCCATTGCACTGAACCACTGTGGTACCAGGGGCAGGAACATCTGATGGCCGTGAAGTTTCATCCTCTTGTGAGAGGTGCCGTTGCACGTGCTGGACCATCAGAGCACACTCCGCTTTGGCAAGCTGGGGACCCTTCAGCCAGACACTCCGGCAGTGCCTGTTGTGTTGGTGGCATTTGTGAGGCTCATGGGCCTAGTGCATGGAAACAAGAAAGCAAGGTTTGTTTGTGGCAAAAATGTTGTGAATCCTGTGAGGCAAAGAAGCAAAAGTATAGAGTAAAAAGCCTTGAAAAAAAAAATCACAGTGCCTAAGCATCAGGACGCCTGCTCCACACCAATTTTCCTTATTTGTTGCTATGAAAAAAATTTTTTTAATAATAAATATTTACTAAATCCTACTATATTTCAGGTGCTGTTCTAGGCCCAAAACAAAGACCCCTTCGTTTGGAGCTGGAGTTCTAGCAGGATAGAACTGAGTAAGGTTTCATTGCTGGGTGTGGCGCACATGTGTGGAGCAACGAGTGCACAAGGACAAGTTCACATTCAACCCTACAGTGTGCTTCCAGCAGCCGCCGTTGGAACTTGTAGATATTAATTACATCTTCAGTTGGCCAAAAACTTAGTTTTTTCCATAAGATGGCTACAGCAGTGCTTGGTGGTCTTTAACTTCCTTTGAAACAGTTTTGTTAGATTGTATTGTGACAGCTGTCATAACAGTGTGAATTAAAAAACTTATAAAAATCCGTGAATTCTTGTGCAGCCATTTTAATATTGAAGATGGAAGAGAATATGTAACATTTTTGGCTTATTATGCTTTATTATTTCAAGAAAGGTAAAAACACAACTCAACACAAAAAAAGATTTGTGCAGTGTATAGAGAAGGTGCTGTGACCGATCGAAGATGTCAAAAGTGGTTTGTGAAGTTTCTTGGTACTGTTGACACTTTGGCCAAATAATTCTTTGCTGTGGGGCTGTCTTACACGTTGGAAGATGTTTAGCAGCACCCCTGGCCTCTACCTGCTAGAAGTTGATAGTGGGACTTAGCCAATGTATTCAAAATATCCAAATCAATAAACTTAATGGTGAAAGTGAAAAATGTGTCTTTTATTTTATGGAAAAAACCATATGGACTTTTTGGCCAACCCAATACATTTATTTCTGAGAATTCTTACAGTAATTGTGTCATTAGAATTTTTTCAGGTAAGGAGTAACTCAGGGGTAGTAAGAATCTTCAAAAAAGGCTGGAACTCTCTCCAGTCCTTCTGAGGATGCCTTCCTGGTGAAGTTAATCCCATCATGCCAGTTCCACTCACCTTGCTGATGACTGTTTTAGGAATGGTCTTGTGGTGCTATTATGGCCAGTGAGGTGTGAGGGGATTCCAGGGTTTCTGGGAAAGTCTTCTTTATACTTCAAAATGCTCCTCTTCTTCTCGTCTGATGTTGGGTCTTGTATGAACGATGGAGTGCCTGGAGCTGCTGCAGCCACTTTGTAACCATGAGGGACAAGCCTGTGACAAAAGCAAATACAAAGTGACAAAGTGGAAGCACCTTAAGATGCTAGTCTTTGATGAATCAATCACTTATCCCTGGGAATGACCTAACTCGGGGCATCATGTTATGTGAGAAAATACATTTTTCACTTTGAGGGATAGTGGTCACATTTATGCCAACCACAGCACTGCATCTCTTACTCCGTCACTCAGGCAACCAACACTTGATGAGAACACACCACGTGGGACACTTTGTGCTGCTGGAATGTAAGTGCGAGTGGATGGATTCCTGCCCTGACGGGTCACACCGTCCAAAAGAGGGGTGAAAGGGACAGATAAATGCAGGAGAACCTGCTGCTACCTGAGAGGCGTGCACAAGATGCTGTGTGCATGCCTCCAACCTAGTGCTTTGAAGACAGCTTTGCAAGGGAAGTGGTACACAGTCTTTCTCTTGAAGGACGGTTACCTTTTAGACAAAGGGATATGGAACATGGGCCCCGTGAGTGGAAGACAGATACGGAGAGAGGCAGACGGTGCCTACCTCATCAGTGCCACGCTTTAGGAAGCCTGAAAGGCTATAGTATGGTCCAGCCAAAGGAACCCAGTGCTGACCTGCTGGTCTGAGTCCTGGTTCAGTTACCCACTAATTATGTGGCTCTTGGTCATTCATGTGTCTCAGAACAGCTTCAAGAAGGGGTTGGTAATAACTGTCTTGCCTCCCTCACAGGGCAACCATAAATACAAAATAAACGTGAGAGGTTATTATCTCCTCCACCTCTAGACATAACTTATGCTCACCCATTCCTAGGTGCCTGCCCAGCCTCTGAGGAATTTTCTTTTCTCCTGTTGTTGAAGCTGCCCTCTAGTCTCCTCCTTAGTTTTATCAGTGATCTCCTATATTTCCAGCATTTTATAGATTTTGTTCATTTATTTTTAGAGAATGGGGGAGGGAGAAAGAGACAGAGAGAAATATTGATTGGTTGCTCGCAGCACCCCCCACCACGGACCTGGACCGCCACCCAGGCATGTACCCAGACTGGGAATCGAACCAATGACCTTACAGTTGGCAGGCTAGTGTTCAGTCTACTGAGGTACACCAGCCAGGGCTGTATTTTCAGTATTTCAAATCCTCTCTTCCTCTCTCCTGAGTGTTTCTTCCCTGTCTCCAAACATGCACCAATCTCAGAAAATAAATATATGTAATTTTAAGATCTTTCCTTAAATCTTCTATATCCCCACAAATGTCAGTTATTTTCTTTTTCTCACCAAACTTCTTAAAAGAATAGACTGTTTTCTCTCCTCCTTTTCTAGTCTTCTACCCCCTGGTAAGCCCATTCCAATGTCCAATTAAAAGTGGGCTCTTAGCCTTGGCTGCTGTGGCTCAATGGATTGAGTGCAAGCTGATAACTGAAGAGTTGCTGTTTGATTCCCAGTCAGGGCACATGCCTGGGTTGTGGGCCAGGTCCCTAGTGAGGGGCACATGAGAGGCAACCACACATTGATGTTTCTTTCCCTGCTTTCCCCTCTCTAAAAATAAATTAAAGGAAAAAAAGAGTGGGCTCTTAAAGGCCATGATGTCTACGCATAAGGCTTCGTCTTGTTCTCATCCTACCTGACCTCCGTTGTGAGATGCATGTGTCATGCTTTCCTCCACCCCACCTTTTCCTCCTCCTTCCGTTGCAGGATTATGTTGACCTCAGTTTTTTTCTTCCCCCTCCTTCAGCACACTCTCCAGGGAACACTTACTTAAGCGCATGGCTTTCGCAGTCCCACTGTAGATGAACCATGAATATATTTAATCCTGGTTTTCCCTCCTTAAATCGAATCCAGCAGTTTCGAGCTGAGTTGTCGAAGTGTTCATTTGGATGTCTTATGACTCCACTCCTCAGTCTCAGCTGGGTCAAAGCTGAGTCTGGCTTCTTCTTCTCTTTTGCATCATTTATATCACTCCCTACATATACCAGCCTAAAATTCTGACCCCTCCAACTCCTGTATTTCTTACTGTAAAGCCAAATCCAATTAATTAACCCTTGAAATGTCTCTGAAATAATTCATCTCTTTTTGATTCTTATCAAACTATTCTTTGTGAAGTGTTCATTTCTTTTTTACTGGACTGGTATAATAGTTTCTCAAGTGGTCTTCCTGATATCACTCTTTAAATAAAAATGATTTTTCATATTTCTGATAATTCTCTCTCTACAAACAGATTTGGTCATGATTAAAAACTACCCATTCCTTCCCATTGTTGGCAGAATAAATTCACAATTCTTTAAAAAATTGTTTTCAGCTTTTTGAGTTATAATTGACAAAACTGTAAGATTATTTAAAATATACAACATGATGATTTGATAATATGTATACAATGAAATTCACAATTCTTTAGCATTACATTCAGAAGCCATCACAATCCTGAACTCTTCATAATTCACCTCCAACCTCTCTTCTGCATCGTCAGTAAAATCCTTCTAGATAAAGGTTCAACTCAAATATCCCCTTCCCTATACTCCAGACAGAATTAAGTTACCTTTGTTTGCATTCATAGCTTATATGCTTCAAGTTGTTCTTAGATTCACCATCATCACACTAAATTGTAATGATGCCTCCGTTTCTTCTAAAAGATTATAAGCTCCATGAGGGTTATTAATTACCTCTAGTTGCATAACATAGGACAACAGGATTTATCAACTTAAACCAGCAAACACTGACTATCTCACCATTGTTCTTTGTCAGGAATTTAGTAGGAGTGGCCTACCTGGCTAGTTCTGGCTCAGGGTCTCTCATCGCTTTGTAACCAGCAGGTCAGCTGGGTCTGCAGTCATCTGAAGGTCTGACTGGAGCTGGGGGATCAGCTGCCACGATAGCTCACTCGCACACCTGGATTTAGTGCTGGTTGTTGTCGGGAGGCCCCAGTTCCATGCCATCAGGATGTCTTCATTAAGCTGCTTGAGCATCCTTACAAGATGGTAGCTGGTTTCCCCAGAGCAAGTGATCCAACTGAAGAGGAGAAAAACCAAAATGCCTTTTATGACCTAGTCTTGGAAACTGTACCATCAAAACGTATCCCATATTCCATTTGTTAGCAGTGAGCTACTAAGTCCAGGCCACACTTAAGGGGGTGGGAGATTATTTGCCACCCCTTGAATGGAGGAGTATCAAACAGCTTGAGGACATGTCTTAAAACCATTCCACGATTGTCTCTTATCTTTCTGTTTCTGGTAACTAGCACAGTGTCTGGCACTTAGTGGGTACTCAATAAATGTTTCTAATACAATGACATGCTACAGGGGAAAGTATTGACGGAAGGCCATCCATGGGTAACAAGTGTGGGCCAGGTAAAGGATGGCGGAGGTGGGAGATGGTGGGAGACGCCCTGAGGTAAAATTCATTAGCTCCGTGACTGATTGGATGCGAGGGGTGGAGAAGAGATCCATTTTGGGTTGAAGATGGTTTTAAAACTAGGACTTCGAGGTGGTTGTGATGGCTGAAGTAGGCATTTATACTTCTTCCACAGGGTTTCAAGGCAGTGAAGTATCAGACCACGTGTCTGAGAACCCTGTGTCTAATTGTTCAATTGTACCTGAAAGTGCCCAGGACTGGCAGTCACAGAGCACAGATTAAGCCATTCCCTTCACTTGAGGTTTCTCGTTTATAAATGTGGAGGTGTAATACCCAACTATCTCAAGGCGTTTAGCCTAAAGTCATCGTTCAGAGGTCAACATCCCATTTTTTGCAAAAAATTCCCACCACGACATCTTTTACAAATGGTCTTGTGGAAACACTAGGTAACTATTAGGTTGAATTGTCTGAAATGCTGGTATTCCAGTTTTCATCTATAATGAAACCAATTTCATAAGGTTCAACCTAATCAATTGGCTGCAGTTTGAAAATTTGAATACTGAGGAATGGAATGGAGAAATAAAATGGAGTCACTATAGTCAAACTGCTAAATTACTAAAATGAAGTAATTTATTTTTCACATTGAGGTACGAGAAAAGGATTTTATTCTTGTTTAAACTAGCCTGGGAATTTAAACTTTTGATCATTCCAGTCCTGCACCATTGCCTGGATTATACATCAGACCTGGAGAACTGTGGAAACAATATTCACATATCCAGCCCATTTGACATTCATTATCCAGCCCGCCTGCCATCTAGAAGATTACCATTTTGGATTAAAACCAGAGGCAGGACTGATTTGTCTCAAGAATGTACTTTTTACCCTTAAGAACCCTCAGCTTTTCTTTCTTCTTGGAGAACATTCTGGGTATTGCCCAGTTGTGTTTCTGATTTGCAAGCCCTAAGACCCTTGAATAAATCTTTTTCATTTATTTCTAGACAAAGCCCCGATTCATTTAAGCTCAGCTGAAAACACCTATTCATAGGTGGAAAATTGAGATGCTCCAGAGTTCTTGATCTATTTCTGATAACACTGAGGTCCAACTTTAAGAAAGGTCAGTTTTTTAAATATTATTTTTAGAGAAAGGGGGAGGGAGAAAGAGGAGAGAAACATCAATGTATGGTCGCCTCTCATATGATCCCAAATGGGGACCTTAACCCAGGCATGTGCCCTGACTGGGGATTGAACCAATAACCCTTTGGTTCATAGGTCAGCACTCATCCACTGAGCCACAACAGTCAGGCTAAGAAAGGTCAGTCCTGAAGATAAATGAAGGTTAGTCCACATTTCCATGTGGACTCACATGGGTATCATATTCCCATTCCCTTAAGTTATTTAAAGGAATTACAGACCAACAACTGCTAAATACTAAAGAGTCAAGAAACTTTAATAAGATGTGAAATTTATCTAGGAACCCTAGATAAGTTCAGTGTCAATCACATTTCATACGGTGTCATTTTTAAGAAATCATATTTACTTACAAGTGAAATAACTATAGACCTAATAAAGAGTGAATAAGAATAGTTTTGGGTTTTTTTTTCGTTGTTGACAACTAAAAAGTGATTAGTTGACTCCATTACTGGTGGAAACCAATTATTTGTCAATATAAATTAATTTATTAAAAATACCTCTTGTGCTATTACTTTTAAAAGATTACTTTTAAAACTGAGTATTAGCCCTGGTGAGGTAGCTACTGTTATTTGGAGAGTCCTCCCCTTACGCCAAGGTTGCAGGTTCCATCTCTGGTCAGGCAGGGCACATACAAGCAGTAAACAATGCATGCATAAATAAGTGGAACGACAAATTCAAATTAATAAAAAATGAAAATAAAACTTATTTAACTCTCAATGAGAAAGTTCTTCAGTATTTATTCTTCCATTTCTACATATCAATTAATACTGAAGGTAGACTCTGGGGAAGACGTGTAAAACGAATTTACAATAGCGCACGGGTTTCAAAAGAGCGAGCAACAATGCACGCATCGACTCCCCGCCTCCCACCCCCCAATTTGGAACCAAGGCTCCCGAAGTGCAGGGTCTTTTTTGTTTGTTTTCGGCTTAATCCCAGCAATATGAATCATGCCTAACCCACTGCAAGGTCTCAATAAGTACTCCATCAACCGTTCTTGCAGCGTGCAGTGGTCAGCTAGAAGGCCAGCACGCAGTTTCCTCCTCCACTGAACCTGCGCGGCTCTCAGCGCCCCACGGCCACAGCTTGCACCCCAGGGAATATCCGGCTGCCCGCGCCCGCCCGGGCCTTCCTTTTCCGCGGAGGAAGGAGCGGGCGTCGGGAGTGGGAAACTCGGGCCCACTTCCTGTCCGGGCAGGACAGGGCCCGGCGTCCGCGTGCCCTGCGGCCTGCTGGGTGGGCGCCTGGAGTGGCCCAGCTGCAACACTAAGAATGCAGCGGGGTGCGGCGCGGGCGAGCAGCGACGGGGCCCGGGGCGAGGGGAACCCGGAGCGACGAGTGCCAGGAACAAGAGGGACCTTGGCCGAGCCCGCCGGCCCCGCCCCGGCAGCGTCTCCGGCGGCGTGGGGGTTAAGTGCACAGGGGGCGGGGCCGACTCGAGCCGGCGCTCGGAGAGGGGGCAGCTAGTTGGGAGGGGGCAGCGGCCGGGGGCGGTTCCGGGGCCGGGGGCGGTCCGAGGAAGGGGGCGGGCCCCGAAGTTGTTGGGCGCTAGGCCGGCTGGCGGGAGGGCGAGCGGGCTGCGGGCCGGCGGGCGGACCGGGCCGGGGCTGGAGAAGTTTGCGCGGCGGCTTGTGAGCGCAGGGTGAGGGCCCGGCCGGCCGCTGCGCGCCCGCTGCCATGGCTTTCCGCAGGAGAACGAAAAGTTACCCACTCTTCAGCCAGGAGTTCGTCATCCACAACCATGCGGACATCGGCTTCTGCCTTGTGCTCTGCGTCCTCATAGGGCTTATGTTCGAGGTGAGCGAGATCTGGGAGGGGGTACCCTTTCTCGTGCGCAGCCCGGCGTACCCCTGCAGGTCCCTGGGGTCCTCCTCTGATCTGGGGCGCGGGGCTGCCATGTACGTTATCTGCACCCCGGCTTTGTACACTGTACCCGCCTTGGTCTCCAAGTCAGCCCACACAACCCCCCCACCCCCCGCTCCCAGCTCCGCTCCTTGCCAGCGGTGCCCTGCTCAGCCACCCCTTTGGGCACCTACCATATCCTGCAGCTCTCTCTGCAGCCCTGAATCCTAAGCCTGGCCTCGAACCAACCGCAGTGCTGCCACCCTGGCCCGAACAGTGGGGTTTCCTCTCTGGTGTCCGGGAGCCAAGCCCGGAGACTCCCAGACCCGGAGTCATTGCACAACTATGTCCCTCTCCCAAGCGGTGGCTGCCACCTCTTCTGGGCTTTTCCAGAGGGAGGGATCCCGACCCTTTCCCATCTCCCATCTGATTTTTTGGGCCTTTTGCATCTTCACGTGTGGCCTTGGCCCCATCCCAGCAGTGTCCTCCCGCCTACCCCACCTTTTTCCCCTTGCCTAAGGGCCAGTTTTTATGTTACCCATTATCACTCTGGATTATTTCTTTAGTTCCATCTGTGGTGGACCCAGAGCTTTTCCCCGTTACAGGGCCAAGGAGAGGGACGGGATAACCTGTGCTTTTAGGGACAAGTTGATTCTCTCATAGCTTCTCTCATAGCTGGGCATAGGGGGAAGAGGTTGGGGGTCCTACCACTGCCCCTCCCCCACCTCCCCAGCACTGCTTGGTGCGGGCCTTACAGAGCAGGGACTTGCAGTAAGCCCCTCTGCCCAGGATCTGATGGGAAGGACTCTCTACACCTAAGAGAGATCGAGAAAAACGTGATATGCAAAAGTTAGAAGAACTGGAGGAAAGTTACCGTAATAGGGCTTACTGTGGTATATCTTGGCTGGAGTGAGATAGTGACACTCCCCTCACTCTCAGTATGGTCTCCAATGAGGCAGGGCCTTGTCCTCCATTCTGGGTAGGGTCGCTTATCTGCAATCTCAGGAATGGGTTAGGAAGCTATAACCATTTGTAAACTGCCTTGAAGATGGAGGATTCTAGCAGGGCTAATTTCTCCTGTGTTTCTGAGTCTCTGTGCTTGTCCTCTCCTCTCTAAGGATGACAAGGGTTCTAACTGGCCCGTGAAGCTGCCCTCAAGCTGGGGACATTTTTGTGATGGCTGAGTCTGGGTTAGATGTGTGAATGTGCTCTTGTCTGGGCTTCTGGGTCTCTAGGAAATACACCTGAGACTAGGATTGGGGTCTGCACACCAGCTTTTGGTAGTTCTCTTTTACTTCTGTCCTTCCCTCCTTCCTCCCACCCCTACTGCTTTCATGGTATATTGGAAAGGGCTTTAGCTAGGGTCGTCTCTATGTCCCAGTCTTTGCCTTGTCACTAGACTGATTAGAACAAACAAACAAAAAACAACTGACTGCAACCTCAGTTTCCCCATCATTGAAGAGGTTAGTAAAACCCATCTTCCGCATGGGGTTAGTGTAAGGTTTGACATCTTATAAGAAACAAAAGCCACAGTAGATTCTACAAATGTGAATAGAAGTCAGTTGTTCCTGTTATTATTTAACATAATAATAGCTTAATGAAATAAGAGAGCCAATACCCTCTGTCCTATTTGTGTCTGTTTGCCGTCCTCCATTCTAAGAGGCCTCCCAGTGCCATGTCACCAGTCTTGGAGGGTGTGGTTGGAAAGACACACGTGACAGCTGTAGCCCTCATAGCCCCACGCTGCAGCCAGTGAAGTCCCTTGCATAGGCTTGTGGCTCTCTTGGCTGGGTTTCTGGCATTTGTTAAGGTTTGTGGCTCTACCTGCTGCCTCAAAAGGAGTTGCCTTGTGTTTGAGCTTAGTACCTCCTGCCCTCCCTGCCTCTAGTCTTGGAAAGTCCTATGTATTAAATCTGGAACTCTGGGAGTTGAAAAGTGGTAGGAGCCCTTAACCCCCAGCACCTGACAGAAGGTGGGGGGACCTTCCTCTTCTCTGCTTCAGATTGGACTGGGGAATGTGGAAGGGACCTTGGCCGAAGTGCCTGCAAGGCTTCCTCCCACCTTAGCGCTATTGAAACTTAGACCTCCACCTCCGAGCTTACAGGGCAGGAGTCTCCCTTTCTGGGAGGTGCATTGTGGGATTGCTGGTGTGTGCTGGTCTTGGAGGGGGGGGGCTGTGCATCCTGTTTTATGGAGGATGCGTGTTCTGCTGTGCTAGGTACAGAGTAGATCTTCATCGTCTATACCTACCAACTGACTCTACGCAGGGATAGGTATTTTGGGGGGACTAAGATTTTTAGAACTCTGCTGTCCCTACCAGCTGAGAGCAGAAACAACTCCGTTACTTTTAGGGACCTTAGAGAAACACATGTGGGCATCTTCACATCTGGAGTAAAGCTGGGGGTGGCACCTCATAACCCAGCCCAGGACTTAGTAGATATCACTTAGAGTCTTCTGGGTCGTCCCCTGGAGGTGTGGTGTGTCTGCGTCTGTATGTAGGGGTGCACATGGGGGGAAGTCCTGCGCTTAACACTTTTTCCAGGAAGTGTGGAGAGGAAGTGGAAAGGGAAGGGGAAGACAGAGAGAGAGAGAGAGGACAGCAGGCTCTTGGATTTCTAACTTGGGCATGGCTAGGGTTCCTTCATTCAGAAGGTGAGTTCAGGAAACTCATTTATAATTCTTCTCACAGAAAGTCTGCTGGCCACTCCTCCTGCTGGGGTCCCCTGCCCAGTCTCTGCCCGGTTAGCTGGGCCCCTCTCCCCACCCAGGCATGTCCAGCCCATGTGTCCTAACTGGTCTCCATCTCATTCCTGCCTTTCCCTTTCCCCAACTGACTCATCAGCTGGCCATCATTCAGAGCGGTTTCGTTCTCCCCTCAGGGACCCCAGGACTTCAGTTCTGTCCCCTGGAGATGATGATGACTCCAAATTCCTTCCCTTGGGGTCACTTCCTTTTGGGAATACACATGAAAGGGTGACTCTCCCTCCTCCTTTTGACTTAGTTTTGGGCCATCCTGAGATTCCTTCCCCCATTTCCAAGGCAGGTTCTTTGGCCCAGAACTCAGGTTTTCTCCCTGTCCTGCAGGCTGTTTGGAATAGAGCTGTTCTGTGCAGCCACAGCACTTGGCTAAAAAATGTCAGGAATGTGGAGCTTTATTTTCCCCCTCCTTCCCTTCCAGCTTTTTCTTTCTTAACTCTGCTTTCCGGAGAGGTGGGGAGTTTTCTACGCAATAGTTTGGCCCTTCAGTCTGTCTTAGGGGGTCTGGCCTGACAGTCCTTCGGTGTGTGGACAGCCACTTGGGGTGTGTATGGTGTGTGTCAGATTTAAAGCAATCTCTCGCCCCAGCCCCTCTGCAGTCACTTCCCAGTGTCCCTTTCAGTGCCACGTTTCAAACTGAGATGGGCAGAGAAGGACAGAAACTCTCATCAGTGAATGGAGACTGACAAAGTGGGGGGGTACAACTTATACATTAGCTCTAAAGTGTCATTTTGAAACAGAAACTTTGCTTGTTTGTTTTAAAGCTCATTTGTGGGCTCTGCTGGCTCTGTAGCAAGGAAACGTTTCTGAAATTCTGGGCCCTCATTTGTTTGGTCTATGATGACTTAAGGGTTTTGGACTTAGAAGAATTTTTGGGTAGTGGCTGGGGTTTGGTTTTGTTTCAAAGCCAGGTGTGGTAGAGTTCCCTTTCTCCAGGAACTGCCTTCTTACCTGTATCTGAGCGACTTGTCAGGTGATGTGTTTGCAGCACGTACAGCGGGAGCCCACTGCGTCATGCCTGTTAGCATGTGGGCGCTGTGGCACTGGTTCTCATTCTCCCAGACGTATCTCAGGTCATCATAACCCGAAGTGAGACTGCTGGTCTTGTCTCTTAATATCGGTGTTGCAAAATAGTCCTGCTTATGTTGTGTTAATACAAGAAGGTATGGACATGGTACAGATGGGCATCTGTGGACATATGTTGTCCTGGACAACTTCTAATGCATCTGACTTCTTCGTTTATATTTCCTGGCTTTATGCATTTTTCTGTCCACCTCTGACGTAGTCTGTCAGCAACATTCTAGAAAATTAGTCAGGGGAAACCGGGAAGGGTTGCCGATCCTCTCGCGTGCCCTTGTTCTGTGGTTAGATGTCTACATGCATCCCTCAGTGATCTGAGCAACAGAGCAGAACTCTGGGACCAGTCTCTCCTGGTCAACCCCCAGGCTTTACCCTATGTGTGGGATGTAAGACACACGGATGGTCCCAATTTCTTCCCTTGGAAAAGTGTGATATCCAGAAAGGTGGTGTTAATCGGTCCCTGAGGTTTTGATCTTCACTGCAAGATGAAGAAACCTATCTAAATGCCCTGCACCGTGGCTGGCACACCGACACCCAGCCCATGGTCTCGGCGACCATGCTGGTGGTGATTGGCTTCATTGTTAGGTCTGCGCTACACCTTCTACCATCACACCAGCTGGCTGGGGCCTCCCGGCTGTATTTCATTTTAGATGTGTCCTGCTTTGGCATGAGACCTTTCCCTGAAGTTCTCCAGTGCTAGCTGTCCGCTTTCCAAAGCGTGTGATTATTACACACTGGGTCCCTCTTTTCCCCAGCGAGCCTGTGGTGTGGCTGCTCCACATCTGTTTTCTCTGCCATCTGTCTTATTAGAACACGGGCTGTGGATACTGGAGGGTCTTAGTGTTGCCACCGTCAGCAGTGGGAAGGACCCGTGAGGAGGCGGCTTCGCAAGCTAAGTCAGGGCCACTTTTCTCTTGCTTCACCCCCGGTTGCCGTTTCTCAGGGGCACTGTCCAGACCAGTCGCAACAGAGCGCCTCAGTCCTGGCTGTTTGTAGAGTAACATGTGTTGCTATGGTGAAAACTTCACTCCTGCAGGCATGAGCTCCGTTTTGATCTGCTTCGATGTGGGCAGGGGCCCCAGAAATCACTCTGTGGCATAGCTGATGAACCTCCAGTT